TGCTTCACTTGTGCAACAATTTTATTTTTACCATAGTCACCAAGGAGCTAGTTAGCTGGATGAGAGGACACGAATCATCAGTATTTTCAATCTCTGTGCATGCATCAGGGAGATATGCCATCACCACTTCTTCTGATACAGCACAACTGTGGGACTTGGATACCTTTCAGAGAAAAAGAAAACTGAATATTCGCCAGTCAGTGGGCATACAGAAGGTGAGTGATAGGCATCTTGGCATGTGCTTCTCAGACTAAGTTTTCTTTTTTAAAGTTTTGTTATAATTACAGCTGTGAAAACCCAACTCTCACAATGTGATGGTTTCAGTTTCTAGCTGCAGCCCCATAATTTTGTTATGAGCAACTTCAATCATATAGCAATTTGTCTGTATTATGGATTTATCCATCTTCCCGTCCTTCTGTTCATTAATTCTTTTTAGTGTGTTTTAAATCATAGACATCAGTGTACTTGAGCCTGTGTTTAATTGACTATAGTTCAATATTTATTAATGTAAGATTTTTATATGATGAAATACATAGGTCTTAAGTATTCATTTGTTAAGTTCAACAAATGCATACACCCATATAACCTATATAGCCCTATCATTACCATTATCCCAGAAATTTCCAGCATATCCTTCCTGGGTAAGCACTAGTATAATGTTTTCCACCATAGGTTGATTTTGCCTTTTCTAAAATTTCATACAAATTARATTACTCAGTAATAGGTTATGTAAGGTTTTTTCACTCAGCATAATGTTTGAGATTTCATCTATATTTTAGGTATCAATAGCTTGTCCATTTTATTACTTATTAGTATTCCATTGTATAAATATACTACCTTTTTAAAAAATTTTCAATATCTTAACTGGGCATGGCGACAGATGCCTGTAATGCCAGTGACTTGGGAGACTGGGGTGGAAGGACCACAGTTCAAGTCCAAGCTCAGCAACTTAGCAAGACCCTATCTCAAAATAAAAACTATATGGTCTGGGGTTGTGGCTCAGTGGTAGAGCACTTGCCTGGAATGTGGGTGGCACTAGGTTTAATTCTCAGAAGTGCATATAAATAAATAAATGAATAAAATAAAGGTCCTTCGACAACTAAAAAAAAAATATTTTTTAAAAAACCTTATATATATGAAAAATTAAAAGTGCTCAGGGTGTAGCTCAGTTATAGAGTACCCTTGKGTTCCATCCCCAGAACTATACAGACAGACTCACAAATCCATTTATTTTGCTTTTAAGTTTAATTTTTTTCTTTTTGATTAGCTAAGTACTGTTTTCAGGAGTAYCTWGGTCTCCCATGTGATAGTTTACTTTGCTTGAGGTTATATTGTATTTGCAGTATTGCTTTTAATTTCTTTGTTATTAACAGGAACAGCTAGTAATGCATGTCAAAC